ACCTTTTTAATTCCTCAAGAAAAGTTGAAAGTGGAAAAGCTTCCATTTAATCTCACCAACGCAAATCCAGAATTACTCTAATAGCCAAACCTGGTGCATCAGTGCCTTCAGGGGGCTCGGAACCAGGAAACACCCCCTGCTCTGGGCTCCTACCACAGACTGCTCCTCCGTGCAGCCCTCACGCTCACGTGTGCTCTCGTGGGATCTACCACAGGAACTCCAATTTGCCACCCTGAGGCACCTACACTCTACTTGAGAGGGGCATGGGGCACCTCCATGCCCGTATTTACCTCACACCATTTCTTTGTCTAATGGCAAGTAATCAGAATCAGCATCCTCTTCTATCATAAAGTTCTCTATTTTTTTTAAGCTGTCCTGGAATCTCACACCTCTACCCAATTGGCAAAGGGAATTTCCTGTGTCCTAATCCACACACCTCCTGAGGATCCTTTTGCTCCTTCATAGCAGGCACCCAGGCTCTGTCTGTGGGTAACATATGATCGTGTATGAACCTAATATGCTCATGGGCCATGTTCTTTGGCAGCTGTATTTGAGCTTGCCACGTCATCTGCATCACTGTTCACTTGTCTTCTGGAAGTGCAAATCCACAAAAGGCATGGACTGTCTTTTTGTGAGGGATTCCACATAGTACAGGTCCATGTCCTTTAGAATTCTATCACCGTCAACAGGTATCAGAGCTTGGAGAGGCCATAGAGATCATCTGTGCAACTTCCTCCTGTTTTAGATTAAGACAGTGAGGTCCAGAAGAGGGGAGCTCATTCAACAATCATTTATTGGCCATCTGGCATGTATTAGCTGCTGCAAGGGATGCAAAAATATACCAGATGCAAGCCCAGCCTTCTAGAAGCTTTCTGTCTAGTTGAAGAAGTACATTCTGCACAAAGACGTACCATGCAAGAACAGAATAAGTTCACATCAACTGCTAGTGTGATGCAAAAGAAGGGAAGGGGCAGCTCTTCTGGAGATACCAGTGCCATCATCATGGAAAATGCCATTTGAGCTGGAACTTAAAGGGTTTCCGAGAGTTGGGGACTGGAAACATTCCACACAGAGCCTTTGCTCAGATAGAAAGGCAAGTAGTCTAGATTGGTTTGCAAAGAATCAGGAGATAATGCTGGAGAAGCAGATTGAGGCCCATGGAGGGTGTTAAATGCCTCCTGTCCCCACATCCCACACATCCCCCTCCTCCAGGCTGGTCCTACTGAGCTTATGGACCTCAACCTGAACATCAGCTCCTCAGAGAAGCCTTCCCTGGGCAGTCTCTAAGCAGGCCCCCTCACTATATTAACCTCAGTCACCGCATCCCATTTCTTCTTTCACAGCATTTAGTATAACGTGTAAGTACACACTTAGTTACTTGTTTGCTGCCCTCCCACCATGACTATAAGCTCCTTGAGGGCAGGGACTGTCTTCATTTGATTTGCCATTGTATTATTTCTAGCACCAGGCACAATGCCGGTCATGAAGTGCTCACTGAGTCGTGACCCTTGTTACTGTGAGGGTGGGGTCAGTGAGAATGAAAACCAAGGACTAAACTGAACAGATGCTGTGAAGAATCTAGTTTTGGTAGGAGATTGGATGTGATGACCAAAGGAGAGAAATCAGGTTTCAAGCCTGGGTGACTAGGAGAATGGTGGCACTTAAGAGGGGGGAGAAGAATGAGCAAAGGAGTCTTCCTTGAAGCCGAAGCACTTGAGAGAGAAACAGAGTCACCATGATGAGCGGGGATGCGACACGTTCACCTTTCTCCGATGCTAAGGCTGAGAGAGGCGGCTTTCACCGTCCTGCTTGGGAGGTCATGGCCGACCCTGAGAGCCTTTGAGCTCTCAGTAAACCCAGGTTGAGTGAACAACTGGTCAGTAAGTGGGAGCAGAGCAGGGAGAGTGTTCAGTTCTGGCGAGAAGGCAGCAGAGTGAAAAGAAGGGGAAAGAGCTGAAGGAGAGGAGGCGGTTGGAGATGAAAAGGAATCATAACTGATGGAGCAAGATCCCAGAGGAAGTCGCAGGGACTCCAGAACGGAAGTTCTCCATAAAACAGAAAAGACAATTCACATTCACCCCAGGTCTGGGCTGAGTGCAATCTCTTTCCTCCAAGCTTAAGCCAAAGACTAGCACCTCTCTTCTCTTTTCCTGAGCATGTGCCATGTGACAGATACTGTGCTAAGTGCTGGGGATACAAAGACAACTAAGACAGTCCCTGCTCTCAAGCGGGGTCAAGGAGAGGAAGACAGATGTCAGGAGATAAGGGCCAGGAACCGTTCTGCGAGTGGCAGAGTGCGAGGCAGTGCAGCGCAGCCGGCCTGTGCCGGACTCAGAGCTCTGTCGCTTATGAGCCATGTGACCTCCCAGGGCCTCAGTTTCAAGTGGAAAATGAGGTTAACAGCACTTCCCTACCTTGTAGGGCTGTTTTCGGCAATAAGTGAATTAAACTGCATCAAGCACTTAACACAGGGCCTGTCACATAGTAAGCATGAAATAAATGTTGGCTGTTACAATGATGGCAGAAGTTCTGACCGGGCCTAATAGGGCACAAAGGAAGGAGTGATCAACTTGACCCATGGCGTTGGGGGCGGGAGTGAGAGGTGTTTCAGGAAAGGCAGCAGAGGAGGAGGAGAATTCTTGAATCAAGTCTTAAAATGTGAAGAGGAGTCTTCCAGGTTAGCAAGATGGGGTAGCAGCAAAGGCCTTTACGGACAGAAGAAAAAAGTGAGCAAAGAGGGTTGTGGTGCATTCAGGGAATTCATGGCTGGAGCAGGCAGGGGAGAAAGGCCAAGGCCTGATGGTGGAAGGATCACGCTAAGGAGCTTGGACTTCTCCTTGTAGGGGACAGGGCCCCAGGGGTGGGATGGGTACTTTAGACAGCCAGTTCTGTCAGCTATGGGGAGGATGACTGTGGTGACAGGAAGGCCAGTCAGGACATCCTCTTGCACATGCTCTTCACTGCTAGCAGGCAGGTCTGAATCCTTCCTCTCAAACCACCCACTCTCCAGCCCTTTGATGGATGCTAGATGCTTCTGATGAGTGCCACTGCCCGGGAGGGACAGGACATGGAGGGAGCTCATTAGGCGTAATGTGGAAACCACTCATGGGTATCACACTGTGACAACAGGCACATCACTGCAGAGAGAATCTAGGTAGGGTGTCACTGCTGAAGCAGCTCTTCTACCCCCCAACCCGCTCCAGGGAAGCACACGCTACCAAGACCCCACTGGCTGTGGAGGAACCAAGGTGTGCAGGGGCCATTCCGCTGTTTCTTGGAAGTGATGATGGAAGAGAGGCTTTTGAGGAAATTGAAATTTGAGCTTTGGAAGGTTATTTGCAGTAACAGAATGTCCTAGAGGTGCCAAGGGACTGACTTAACAGAGAAGAGGATTAGTGGAATCGAGGCCATGAAATCCTAGGTGGGGACAGAGATGATGAAGGATAAAACTTGGGATCTTGGAGATAAGCGAGCACCATGACAACCTGGGCAAAGCGCACCAGGCACCCAGGCAAGCGTCTACCATGGGTGCTCTGATAAAGCTCAGGCTCTCAGAACCACTTGTGTCTACAACGTTTTCTGACACCGTGGCCTTCCGGTGTTTGGCACCAGGCAAGCACCGTCCCCGTGGAAAGGGCTCCATTGTCCTTTAGTCCTGACCTTTCTGCTCAAGCCCAGTGTCCCTTTTCAGTCCCATCCTTTTCTGTTTAACCTTGACCCACTCAGGGCACTTCCTCTCTAGTCTCGTCCCAGTCCTGCTTCTCAACCCCCACTTCCTTCTGTGTCCACATTAGCTTCATCCTTAAGCACAACATCCATATTTGCTTTTGGTAAAGATTTTCCTTTCATTAGCTAATTTCTAGAAGTACTTTCACCTTAAGATCAAGTTGGTCATTTGGATCTGAATAAATATATTATGTAGTCTTGAGTATCATCCTATGAATGTTTTCATGTAAGGTCTGTTAGAGATGAAGAAACTGAGGCGCGATCAGCTGCGTCGTTAGCAGTGGAGCCAGGGAGAGGTCACAGTGTTGACTCCCTGTGGGGACAGGCGACAGCAGGGTTTTGGGTCGGTGCATCCACCTCCAGTTTCCAGGTTGCTCAGTATGTTCCAACTGAGGCTGCGTTTGCTCCAGCTGTGCCTCCTCTAGGAGGGACAGCAGCTGTGAGCCAGGGTCTCAGCACAGCAGGATTAGAGGCCAGCTCTTCGGTCCCTTTGCACTTAGGAGCTGGGTTTCCTTAAAACCCCACAGAGCACTCTGGGGGCTCCTTTTTGTCGGGCTGCCTCTTAGCAAGTGGGAGGATGCGGGAAACTGTAAAGCCCCCCAAATGGGTAAGGACTGTTGTCCCTGCTAGGGCTCGGCCCACACACACCAGGGTTGCTCATCCAGTCATAAGTCTGGACCTGAACTACGACAGGACTTGCTCAGGCTTCTCCACACAAGCTGTGGTGACATCGGCCATGTCATAAATACTGCTCTCAGCACCCCTCCTCTCTTTAGAGGACTGCCGGGGTGACTACCACCCTGCTCTGCACTCTGGGCCCATCTCACCCTCCTTTTCCCCTGAGTGCTAATGCTTCCTGGTAGCTGGGAGACCAGCTTTTACCACATTTATTACTCAGTTCTCTGCCACTTCCTCGGCTTCCACTTTCTCTAACAAACGTCTTTGCTGCAGTAGGCATCTCCCATCTCGTGTACCTTTTAGGAAAATGTCAGCATTTCACCACCAGGGACATGGGCGCCCTCCACACACACCTGACCAGAGCTATCTGGGACAGAGTTTGGGGGCAAGGGTAGAAGACCGAGCACACAGCCTTCACAAAGGACCTGATATGACCGCAGGAGCCTAGAACCACCCAGAGGAATGCCTAACTTCAGAGCTGATGGTCACCAAGTAGAGAGCTTTCTGGCCCCCAAAGAAAGGTTTGGGACATTGTTCCCACTCCTTGACCCCCACCCTCCCCTCTCAATTACTTCAAGAAGGTCTCTGAGCCACAGTTCATTGCAACTATCATTTATTAAAAAATATATGTCTCCTTGGAAGGAACACTGGTAAACCAACTAGTGTCATGCTTACTTTGAATCTTTGCTTTTCTTTCCTGGGAGGGGTAGAGGGTTGAGCAACATTCAGACCACATCGCTTAACATCACAGAAATCAACACTCCCTGCTCACTCCCTCCTCACCAGAGGCATGGTTGGCCACCACTTTACCCCTCTTATTTCCAATCCAGTGTACTGCCCAGGTAAAGCTGCTGCCCTTTCTTTACCCACATTCTGGGCCCCACACTTTACAGTTAGCCTCATCCTGCTGGTAGAAGAACTGTTAACAGATGTCCTAAATTTGGCCGGTAGCACTCAAAGCATCTTCAACATGTGTCATTTGCACTGGTGGTCACATAGTGGGCTAGGAAACAACAGACTCAAACCTGGGGCCAAGCATGTCCGCGCTCTTCTCCCCTGTGTCATGCCTCCTGTGTGGAGCTGAGGGAGGCATGGGGGCTTCAAAGGAGCATGGTGGGGTGGGGTGGGGTGGGGCCTGAGCCACATCTGCCGCCTGCATCTGGGGTCAGAAGAAAACTCCCTTGATCACCATCACTGCCAGTCTGACTCTGGGAAAAAGCAACAAGGTTTCACATGTCAACAGTAAGTGAATCTTAGCTCTACAGCTCAAAATTGACAGCATTAAAATCTACTTTCTTCTTGAAGAAACAGTAAGCTACCAGCTGTTGGTGAGGGGCCTGGGGTAGGTAGGGCATATGAAGCAGCTGCGGAAAAAAAACCCAAATCAAACTTTTCATTACACGGCTGGCCAAGCCCAGTGCCGTCCCACTGTCCCAGCAGAGACTGGGAAGGCAAGTGACTCTCTGTCCCCACCTGTGTGCCCAAAGACAGGGCCTCAACTAAGTCCAGCGTGGCTCTGACAGGTGAGTGAAGGGACATGTTATGATACGGGGCCACAGCTCCTGCCAGTTCACACCCGCCCCCACTTCCCCTTCCGCTAACGGGACGGCCAAGCCTGGGTCACCTACTCTAGCACGAGGCCCAGCTCTTCCTGAACGTCACGAGCCTTTAGAACACGATCAAATTGGATTCTACGCATTCACTTAAATAGTAAAAGTAAAATTTGGAAGAATGAAAAGGCTGACACAGTAGCACAACATGGTTTTGGTTTAACAGCAGCTTAAAAATGAACAAAAAGGAAACCTCTCATGCAGACACATCAGGTGGCATAAAACAATCGGCAATTTAACACGGAGCACCATTAGCCATTCTCTCTCTTCCCGCGCACAGGCCTGACTGCGCCCCAAGGGCGGCAGCTGCTTTAGGGTGCCGTCTCCAAGCCTCTCACCCCAGGCAGAAGCCCTTTCTTGCCTGGCCTCCGGCTGACCCCCTCCTAGAGAAAAGCCCAGCTCTCAAGAGAATGACCAAATGAGGGTGCCCTCGGCACAGCGCTTACTACCACTTTCACTCCCTCCCCAACCAGTTGGGATATAAGATGCCATCTGATTGGAATATGAAAATTAAAGCATTTCTCTAATAACACAGTACCATTGATGAAGTCTCCATAGATTTTCTAGTCCAAATGTGTGTGAATATATATATATATTATATGAGAGTGTATAATATATATATATAATAATTTCTATATATTTTATATAAATTACATATATATATCTATATATAAATAAGATACTTTCTGTCGCCGTGACGCCACACCTTTCCGAGCCGCGAGGCAGCGGTACAGATTGGAGAAATGCCCGGGAGCATCTCCTCACGTGGTGCGCTGGGCTCGTTCACAAGCCGCGCAGCTGTCCAGAGTCTGTCTTTCCACCAGTCCTCCTCTCTTCTCTTCACTTCTGCTTGGTTTTATGAAAACAATGACTCTGATGTATATGCACCTGTGCTAGTGCGTGGGAAAGGTCCATGCAGGAATGGGCACAGTCACGTGATGAGTGAGATGGCATCATCCCAAAAAATAAACTAAAACAAACAAAAATTTAAAAAACAGAACAGGACTAGAAAACTCAATTTTTTGGACATATCTAAAAAAGGGGATAAGAACAGTAGTCATTTGTTCTCCCCGTGGGGACAGGAATGAAGAGGGAGGAGGGAAGAGGGACTTGATTTCTTCTGTTCACAAGAGAATGGTTGGAAGGGATTCTTCAGAGTTTTTCAGGGGATGGGACCCAAATGTAGTGCCCAGACTGGTCCTCAATGATTTGTTTGATTTTGTTATAAATCTCTTCCAGTGAGTCACCCTGTACAATGGCTGAAGTGAAGAGGAAAACAGAATTATTACTATGGTCCACAGCACCCCCCAAAGCCCGGTAGTCTGGCCCATCCCAACAGTCCCACAGCTCAGCCCCACACGCGGCGCTCGAGGATATGGGCTTCGGTTTCACTAGTCAGCCACCTGGGAGCCCAGGGCGCAGGGGAAATTGGTGGGCACTCCAGGCCCCAAGCTCGATGTCAACTTGTTGAGAAAGTGAGATTGAGCAGCAATAAGTGGGAAAATGTGTTGTTCAAAAATGTTTATTGAGCGCCTATTAGGTGTCAGACCTTGCAGCTCATGCTACTCTTGGCTGCCATGAGGCCAGCAGCTGGTAATTGTAACACAGCTTTACCAGAAGATTTGGAAAATCCCAGTTATCCAGAGAAGGAGCTGAAAGCCACAATTTCTGGCAAGAGGCAGTGCTCCTGGGGCCATCACATCTGTATTATTTCAGAGGTCACCCAGCAAACAAGGATACGGATGCTAACAATAAAGGGAGCTCCAAAACCCAAGGTACACGAAGACAGTTATGAATTCTGTCCCGGGTTAACCTAGCAGCACCACCAGCTAGTTTACTCAGCACCAACCTGCACACACACGTCACTGTACTCTAAAAGGTGAGCAACACATTACACAGAAAACTTCCCAACCTTTTAGGAACTAACTTTCTAAAGTAGGTACCAAATAAGCACACGCACATATGGACAGCCTGAACACCTGCCAGGGAATCGTCATCCTCAACAAACATTTATCCAGCACATAAAACATGCAAGGCCAAGTGCTGAATGGGGGATGGGTGTGGGAGAGAGGGAGACAAAACAGGGCACCTACAATTTTAGTAGGAACAGGAAGACAAAATGAACATAAGGCAGCACGTGCTGATGGTGGTTGATACCATAAACTGGCTAAACTCCTCTGGCTGGAGGGCACTTGAGTACTTTGGAAAGGTTTGAGCTCAAAAGCATCCAGAAACTCTATGCAAAGTGTCTAGGCCTATTGGAAACACTCACAGAATAGGCGGCCATTGCTCCCACGTTACCCTGGCTGCGCAGCGGGGATTCTTACCTGTGAAGTATTCTCCAAACTCCTGCTCCAGTTTCATGGCTTTGTCATAGATCTTATTTGCTTGTTCGTATGTCTGCCGTCGGTTCATTTCCCTGACAAACACACGAAAGAAAATAGTACCAGATTAGATTCTGCATTTCAATTAACATGAAAGATTGCTCCAGGCTCCCTGAAAAGCTGCTCTGCTGCCCTGACAGCAGCACTGGCCCATGGCTCAACATCTTCCTCAAACCTTTCAGGTTTAAAAGCTCAACTGGGAACACGCGCATGGTCACGCGAATCTAAAGAAGCCCCCAGGGAGCAGAGCTCGGTGCAGATTTTCCTCTGGGTGCCCACTGGGTCTTACCACTGCCCAGCAACCCACTTAATTTTCTATTTCCTTTCCAGGGCCCTTTCCTAGCTGGGAGAGTCATAGTCTCAGGAAATACTTACATAAGTGCTTCAATGGACTTGGGCTTGATGAAAATGGCAATGGGGTAAAGTTGTGCTTGCTGCAGCCTCTTGATAGCATTGCCGGAAACATCTAAGATGCAGTGCTTCCCCTGAAAAAGCAAAGACTGGCATCAGCCCACTCAGTCCCTGTCCACCTACTGTGCCAACCAAACATCCACCTGGGGGAACATGGGGCTGCCCAGAGACCTGGAAGATTCCACCTCTGAGGTATCCAGGCTTCACATTTTGCTTCTACTACCTAGAAAAGGCCACATCTGCAGCTACAGGTGAGTGATGCTCTGGGGTGAGTTGCATGGAAGAGGCAGATAGACACCTCCCTCTAGGGGCTGGGAACACACAGAGGAGGCAAGGCCCTGGTCAGCACTGCCACTCAGTAGGCCCTGTGCTGGAAGGCTGAGGATCCACGGGGAACTTCGGCAGGAGCATTTCTGTGCTCCCTTTGAGAATAATTTCACAGGAACATCGCCTCTCTCCTTACCCTCTCCGCAACTGCCCGCACTGACTGGATGCTGGTCCCATAGAGGTTATCGTTGAATTGGCCCGCCTCGATGAACTTGTTGTCCTGAATATCCTTCTCCATTTGTTCTCGGGAGACCACAAAGTGGTAGTCCTGCCCATCCACCTCATTATCACGCCGAGGCCGGGTAGTATCTGCAGGAAGAAAGGAAATGCTCTGTAGCACAAGGACAACAACCAGCCTCAAGCCACGAGTTGACTTGTACCTCCAACACCCAGGCCTGGAGCCACTCCAGCGCTTTTCAGATGAGTGAGGGGAAAAGTAACTGGGAAGAAGTCTGTTTGCTCATGTCTCTTTGAACTGCCAGGTCGCACACACAGGGACTATCTACTTTAGCTTAAACTGGACCAGAAAGGTGGGGTTTCCAGGGCCAAGGCCTGGCAGAGAGGATGCCAAACGTGGTACGGGAGCCAGCAAGCCTAACAAGCCATCCAGTGAGCCACGCCTGCACATGGGCTGGACGCCCCCCCACCCAGGCATCCAATCATTCCAGATCATCACCAGACTTCTCTCTAAGGGAGCGAGCAGGCTGGCCTTATGTCTTCGTCCTCCCAAGCCCATCAGCCTTGGGGAAATGGATCACTGCTTAACATCTTCCAGGGTGTTAGATACACGCTGCTCCAGAGAACCCCAGAACCTGGCCATGGGCTCCATGAAACACCAGAGCAACAGTTCCCAGGGCACCGACACCTCCCTCACAAAGACCTCCTGGGCTCTTACGTGGCACACAGGATCCAAATTTATGCGGGAACTCTGAGATCAGGTCATCGTTGACTCTGTCCTTCATTGGGCCCAGGATGATCACAGGCCTTGCATAGTGAACTGGAGAGCAAGCACAGAGACAGTCAGCGAGGCCTGTCCTAGCTCCCCGCCTGTCTAGAGCACTGAGGCTCTGAGCTGCCGTTCAGACAGGGCAGTGCATCCTCAGCCGTCCTCTGCCTTCTAACTACAAAGATATCAAAGAACCTTTAATTTGAGAATACCTAAGTCCAATGCAAGTCTGAAATCAGAAGCATCTCCCTTTCCAACAGATTCAGGAGAAATATCTGCATGAGTACCAGCAGCTGAGCACGGTTTTTCAGAGCAACCACTGAAAAGAGGGACCAGGACCTCTGTTTAAGCAGCAGCCACGCCAACTGAAATCGACCTTTGCCGTGCTTGTCAATCTGTCCTATCCTTCAGAAGGCATCCCAGCAGCAAGCAGAGGTATAGTGAGTGATGCACACTGAGGGGGCTTTCCCCTTCTCTCTAACGCTAGGGAGAAGTAGAAGAGAAGGTGGCGCCCAGGGGCTGGAGGCTCAACAAGCCACGTTCCTCCCTCCACCACCACAGCCAACCGCTGGGTTGGGCCCCATGACCACTAGACTAGCTTGAAGGCAAGACTCTCAGAAAGGGGCTTACTTTCTTGCCGTATCACTGGCTCATATGACAAAATAGCATCCTCTTGTCCTTCTGCAACAAAAAAGGGAGACATGTTAGCACTTTATAATCAGCCTCCCTGTGTCCTCATCTCCCGACAACATTCATGTCACCCCTACTTGTGCCAGAAAACAGCCTTGTCAAGTGGTACTTGCTAACACCTGCCCTGTGGGCCTATCTACTTCCTGTTGGCAAAAAAGCACAGGAAGCCCTTCACCACCCCTTGGACAAGAGTCAGGAGTCCTCTCGTTCAGCAAAATATGGCTGAGCAAAGGGACATGAGTCAGAAGCCACGAAGCCTCTACCAAAAACCACCCCAACTTCTAAGAACTGTTCTTAGAGGTAATAGTCAACTGTACTCAGTTGCCTTCTTGCTCCAGTACAAATCATAAGGAAGCTTCCACCGGTTGAGACATACCATCTGTGTCCCCTCAACTGTGGACAAGGGAGTCAGGGCACTCATGCAGGTCCCCAAAGCTGCAGCCTAACTCTGCCCTTTTAAGGGTCTGCCTATCCCCCCTTCACTGGAAGCAGCAAACAGAAAAGTGGCACAAGGCTGGGCTAAGGTCCCCAGTGCCCTTTAAGAGCAGTGCTGAGCCCTGCTCTCCCCTCATGGTAGAGCTCCACATATCCTAGCAACGATGAGCCTTTCCTAAAACAGTTGCCAAGCCACTTGGTGCTGGGCGCTAGGAAGTCCCAAAGTGGCTGACGACAGCACTGAGGAAGGCAGCCATATCTGCATTAAGCCCCAGGATGCCAGCTTACTAGCTTCCTCTGAGCCTAAGACTCCTGGGCAGATCCTACAGGGCCTCCAGCCACAAATCCTGAGAGACCAGTGCTCCCAAACTTCATGGGGTTCGAACTGTGGCTTCTCTGGCCTGTTCACAGGATCTCTGAAGGAAAACTTCGCAGTTATCTGATCATTTAGCCCAGCTAAAAGGCAAGGACACCAAGCCTCAACCCAAGAGGTACTAGTAACCTGGAAAGGCACTTCAGGACAATATCCAACAGGTGCCATTTGTCTTTCGGTCTTTGAGCACATCTGTAAAACTGGCAGCACGTATAGCCCATGGTGCCCATGGCAGGGATTTACTCACTGGCAGCTCACCCTTCCCAGGGTCCCAGGGATGCTTTTAAGTCAGGTCCTGGCCAGAACTGTGGGGCTTACACTCTCCTTTAATCCATGGCCTAAACCCCATCCTACAAGGACAAAATGGCCACAGCATTTCCAGGATCTCCAAGTGTACATGGCTAAAAGAAGCACTAGCCTCTGAACAGAAATGGCAGCCGTGCAACGCTGGAATGAGGATGGCTGGGACACATGGTGGAACTACACAACATGGGGGAGAATGACACACACTTACTGGAACTGCTTTCGCTGTCACTGGTGTTGGATGTCACTCCCTCTGCAAGCCAACAAGAAAGAGACTCCGATTCAGAACACACCACTGAGACGTCACACGCGGCACAAAACTCAAGTGCCCCAGGAGCCAGACACTGAGCTGCCGACCAAGGCAGCCACAGGAGGCTTGTCACATCAGGCTACTAGCTGGGATGCACAGCTCCAATCCTGAGCCCCTTGTTACCTCACACTTGTTCCCAGGACCCTCTTGGTCTGCTAAGGCCCTCCCTATAGACTACCCGCTTCCATTCTTTGGCAGCAACCTCTTCATCTGAATCAAAAGAACTAACGTGGATGGTTTCCAAATTCTATCCCCAAATGCTCCTCCCAAGGCTGACAAGAGGAAGGCAACAGCAGTGACAGTAGCAAAGAGAAGCCCAGCGACCAGGCTGCTCTTGAATTTCCTCCCCAGATAGAGCCCCCAAAATATGAAATTGTGTGGTTCTCTAGGACTAAGAGGCTAAGCACTGGGTCGGTTGAGCAGTCACCAGGGAATGATGCTTTGGCCATTCAGAAGGACCAACAGCTCTCCTGCCACTGCCACCTGGAAGCAGGGCTTGGCCTCAGCGGTGAGGGGGAGTGCTCCTCCATCCACAAGAAGACAGACATGTCAAAACACAGAGACAACAAGCAAAGAACAACACTTGGAGGACAAAACAGCTTTCCTATCTCAGACTGTTGGGACCTGCCCACATCTGAGTGTGGGCAGAACAGCTGCACTCACAGGAGGCATGAAGCATAGTCTGGCCCAAACAAAGCCCACTGCTCCCAAGACAACAGGCAAATGAGGATGAAACATGGACACAACAAACTATGGAGAGAGACACTGCTCGTTTCAGCCAAGATGACACTGTTCCAGACCGTGATATGCTGTGGCCCCCAGGAAGGACTGGCTCAGTCGCCACTCATGGCTAGTTCTTCAGCAACTCCACAAGGAAGCTCCTTTACCTTCACACCTTTATTACTTATGGGAGGAGAGTACATGCTGACAGAACCCGCCTGGCACGGCCATGTGTGTGTGTGCCTGTGCAGACGGCAGGGACGCTAAGGCTCTGCCATCTAGGTCCCTTCATTTACTACTCTAGGATTATTTTCCAGAGGGAAGAGGTCAGTCAGAGTTTTACCAAGCTAAAGCACTAGATACACATGGTCCACAAAATGCTGCTCAGGCCCCCACCCGTTCAGCACCCCCTCACAGACACTCTGTGGGAAGCCAGCCTGCAGCCATCTACTGAGGCCTCTGGACCTGCTGGGACATCCCAGATGCATGTTGGGAAAAGAGCTTCACAGTACTCTTACCTCTACTTAGAAAGACTGAAACAGCTAATTCTCAAGCCCAATTCTTTAGTGCTATATCACGGGGAGAAGAATCCAATCAGCGGGCACCCCACATCTCAAAAATAGGCTAGACACAAGTTGGGTGGTCACTGCTGGGAAGCGCTTCTTGCCCATCTCACTTGGAAGGTGGGATGCCAAGATGGCTCCGCACCATTTCAAGGTACAAAAGGAAAAGCACAGACATGAATGATAGGCTTTTATTACGGTACCAGGGAACCAGAGCAAAAGTGTGACATTCAGAGTCACTTCTACTTCCTCTTGCTGTGGTATCAGTTCTCATGAACACTGCCCTCCCCTCACCCTTTGCCCTTGCCCATGTCCCCTGTTCCCCCAACCCCAGAATCTCCACTCATGCCAGAAATACAGTTAACAGTGTGTAAGTTTGACTTACTCAGGTTCTTTGCTCCATAATAATCGTCACTTAACCCAGGGAAGTCCTGATTTCACAGACAGCAAGGACAAAGAGGGAGGGAGGGAGGGAGGGAGGGAGGGAAAGAATTGGGGAGAAGAGAGAAAAGAGAGAAAAAGACAAGGGGAAGGAAGAATACAGAGCCAGGTGAGCATTAGTGACAGAAGTATGAAATACTATGAAGACCTATAACTACTGTGAAACCTTTGCCACAGAAAGAACGTCCCAGGTCAGATATGGATTTATGCTGCCCAATCTGCTGCCAGAAGGCCTCGGAGTGGACGACCTTTTTGAGGAGGTCTACAGCATACAGGCCGACAGGACAGACAGGTGGCTTACCAAGGCTCGGAGTATCTGTTTTAACTAAATCTGTAGTTAGAACCCAACTCTCTGTTTTGTCCCTGAAATCACCATTTCCCTCTAAGGGTGCATAAAAGAGCAAACATCTATGTATGGCAGATCCGCAGGCAGAATTACCATCATCCCAAGGAGCTTTCGCCCAATACTGACTCACTCTGTCCAAACCCTTCAGGGTAAGCTTCATGCAGTCTGAGCTGTGGCCTTCAATGCTGGCCTGAGTTGTGTATACCACAGGGGATGAGCTCAGCTTCTGGAGAATAAGCACTAGGCAGTTTCAACTCTTATGCAGCAGCCAATCCCCTTCCCCGTTCAGCGGGGTCACCCAAGAGTGAACCGTCCCCAGGCTGGGCTCAGCGCAGAGGTTCTGGAACTCGTCCGGAGAACTGTGCTGACCTCGCCTTGGGCCTCTGTCTCAGATTGTCTCCTACTGCTCACAAGCAGAACCAACTGTACCTAGTGCTTCTTACTGAGCCACCCAGGACTGAGCCCTAATCTTCATTTGGATGAGGGCACCCTTGTAATCTACTAGCTACCACCCCAGATGCCAATGACCTATGTATCCATGGATCAGGCTGACCTAGAGAAAGGACATTCCTTATCGGAACTAGTCAGTCTCCTGCCATCCCAACAGCCCAGGACCCAAAGACCCTTCTTTGTGAGGCAGAAGATTGAGGTTCATAATTCACCATGAGCTACATGACAAATATTTAACCAGCCTGACCTGGTGTTAAAGACTGGGGTGAGAACAGCTAATTTCTGAGGCATACGGTAGAATAAGAATATTTCTCAGGATTGAAAGTTGATTTAGCTCAGCTTTATGCCCTTTTCTACCAAACGAGCTTTGTAGTTCTCAATACATCTTTATTTGGACAATGTTGAGTAATCCCCCTTCTGTGTCAATTCTTTTAAGCAAGGAAGATTTCATTTTGAAGGCTGGCTCTGTAGTCACTCTGGGAAGAACAGTGAGTCTGTTAGAGCCATTTGGACATCCAGTGTACATACACACATTCGTGTAATTCAAGAAGTAGGCCTGACTCCAGGTGTCCATGGAAGAAAAGGGTCTTCTTTTGACACAGATAAGTGAAGATAAGGGAAAGAAAACAACAGGAAGAAGCCAGGAGAGCAACACTGAGTCTCTAGATCTGGTTTTCTTGAAAAACCATTTTTCTAAACCTGACACTGTGGCTGAGAACTGCTCATCGCCACCACAGCAGAGCTCAGTCTGGCACTTCCAACGCCAGCCCTGGAACCAGTTCTACCTCAAAGCCTCCAACAGTCTTCCAGAATGAGGAACTGGACACAAAAGATCCAAGGTCTCCCTGTGCAGATCAACTTCTACCCTGACTCCACAAGTTAGCAGGTACACACACTCACACATGCACACATGGATGGATGGACGGACACATGGACATGGACACACACACACACACACACTTTCCCGTCTTCTCATAAGGGGAGGTGCAAATGAGGAAGAGAGGGCGGGGCTGTGGGTGGTCTGCTCTCTGTTCCCTGCTGCTACTTACGTTCCTGTACGCTGCTCTCCTGGGCCATGTTTTCTTTGCTCTTGTAAAATGGAAACTTTCGAGAGAGGCGGAAACTCTTTTTACGTTTCGTTTTGATCGACTGTGAAAGAACATGAAGATGGAGGGGAAGGACAGAAGAAAAAAAACAGAACAATGGATTTTAAAGCATGCAAGAAAAACTAAAATGGTGACAATGGTGAGCTAAATAAAAGAACATCTCTCACAAATGGAGTCTATGAGATTAAATGAAAGTTGATGTAAGAGGAAAATTATGTTTACAGGAAAATGTTGTAGGGATGTTAGAGGTTTCTACCTAATCCAGACTCACAGCACTCACTGGTACTTCCTAAAGGACAGAGGTCACTGTAGCCTCCTGGACACATGACCTAAGGTGCCACTGATATACACAGAGTCACCTACTCTGTGTCTTTCTTCCCTCTACCGCTCCGGAAGTTCTTTGGCCTGCGAAGCTCACACAAGAAAAGGGGTGAATGGAAAGAGCCCTCATGCCTCGTTTGGTATGAAGGACAATCAAAGCTCTGGGCATGGCCTTCCTGGCTGGACGACGAGGCCGGGATCTGTTCAGGGTCCCCACAGCTCTGAAAAGGGTCTGCAGCCAGGGAGACGCCCACAGGCAGTTTTATGTGCCCAAGCAAGTCAGCCTTCCAGACAGTCCACCTCCGACACATCTTCAAGAGTCAGTTACCTGGGGGGAGGGGGGAGGGGAGTATACACTGGCCATAGAGTTTCAATGCCCTCTCTCTGCTTTCTGAAAAGCAGGCAGTATTCTGATAGAACAGAGCCAACCCTCTGAAAAAGAGATATTTTTTTTGTGCTCCCCAATTCTTTTATCCACCAGGCAGACTCCAAGCTTCTTACTCCTCTTCACATACTGGCTGAATTCCTTGGGGATCCCCACTTACCCTGTTAGACTCAATCATCCCTGTCCGGGCATGGAACTTCACGGTTTTCAATCGAGCCCTTTCTTTCTTTTCCACCCTGTTTCAGAGTCAGAAAGAAGTCCTGTTACTGCCAGTGCATGGTCTCAGCAGTGGGTTGCAGTGGGCACAGCAGCCATTTTGGGCTCACTGAATCATAACCATGCCCTGAACACCAACTCTCTACCAAAACGAAGTAACAAAGCACATCCACTGCTCTCAAGCAACTCATAGTTTAATAGGTGAAAAAGAAATCAGTATCAAGAAGAGGGCAAGAAAAGCCTCTCTCATGATCATGACAACTCACCTCTTCTTACTGGGGATCACACCGATTTGCTCACTTTCTCCATGTGGGGTCACCAGTCTTGCCTGCCACCACTCATCATCAGAGGCATTAATGACATGCAGAATGTCACCATAGGAGAAGCTGAGTCCCTGGCTTGGCAGGCAGCTGTCCCGAGTCCGGTCATAATCAAACAAAGCCCTGAAAATGTAGAGTGAAAGATGAAGTGGTCGTCCCAACCCTAAATGGATGGAAGGATGACAGAAAAAGGCCCACCCAATGAGACAGCACAGACTCAGAAGCCTCTCTGCAGAACTGAAGGAATTCTTCAGGAAGCTGCATCCTTTTCTCTGTCTTGACATTGTAAATACGTGCCCCCTTCTCAAAGAAACATCCCATTCTCCCAACAAAGCGCATAAGGGAAAAATCTTTCACAAGTCCCATCTCCTCCTGGATTCTGGACACAAAGTGGAAGTCCAAAGTAGAACACCCCACCGCCAGTCCTCTCTCTGATCCACATCCTAGGGAAGTAAGTAAATTAGGGCTTTCTCAGTTTACAAACAAATCCAAAAAGTAGTTGAAGACAGGACACAAAAATGTTAACTACAATGAATGGCAAATGCTATAGAAACACAAAAGAGAAAAAAGAGCCTTGTGTCCTGGGGCAGCCAAGGAAAAAGGCGAAGGCTGATGTCGACCCAAACAATAATGAAGTTGAAGGGGCCCCAGTAAAGAAGTCTCCCAGTTCAGTCTCTCTCTCTCATATACGGGAAACAGACGCTGGAGGAGGAAGAAAAACTTGACCAAGGTCACACACCTAACTAACCTGGGACAGAACCCAGGTCCTCTGACAAGACATTGAGAGTAAAGATTAAAGGGAAAGTTAGGAGAAGGTGGGGTGAGAGCTATGCCATCTACGCCTGAGAAAAAGGAGAAGGCCAGCTGGGTTGCAGTGGGGAATCATAGAAAATGAGGTAGAAAATAAAAGTCTAGGGCAAATTTTGTAAGGCCTTGAAAAAAAACCTCATCCAGTGACCCCTGAAGATGTGGAAGTAAGGAAGTGACACATCAGAAGAGCCTTAGGAACATTAATCTACCCTCATGTATAATGGAATAGCACAGGAAGGGGGTGGATGTGAAGGTAAATTTAAACCAAAGCTACAAGCTCAATATTTCAGGATGCACCACTGACTTCGGCTCTGGTGAAGCTGGTACTTTACAGCAGAGACCCCTGCTCAGGGAACAAACTAACCTGCATCAAAGTGTCTACTTTTCTCATCCACTGGATCTTTCCTCATGGGGAGTCACCACAAATGGGTGATTTCCATGATTAGTTTGTATTTTTCTACTTGCAATCTAATTCTTCATATTCCCTGTTAACACCTTTGCACACACAGCCCAGCAGATTTCCCAAAACTAGTTCCAAGACTTAGCCTACTACCTGCAACAAATAGAGTGATCTGTGGCTCAGCTGGAAGCTGCAAAGTAAAACATACTATTTCCCCATGTGCAGGTAGGCCCAAACGAAATACAGAAGGCAGGAAAATGGTGGAGAGTGAAATACACATCTACTTCTGAAACTTCTTAAAACAGAATCCTTGAGAAATCAGTGTCAGATTCTTTGAAAATGAAAATACCCAAACTGACAAAAAGTCCTTTATCTCCCTCAATTTACACACTCAAAACAGTAAGAAGAGAGGCCAAAGCCAGCAGATTAAGGAAGCCCTCTGCCCACAAGGATCTTTCTGCGCTCTATGTGACAGAATCAAGTCTGAATGCATCTGCACTGCATTTGAAACTGAGTGTGCTAAAGCAAGGAAGGCATTCTGTCAGACATTCCCAGAAAGACATGCAGAGTGAAGACCTTGTCCTAAGCGACAATGAAAAACACTAAATGTCATTAAAAATGAGCTTCAAAGGTTAAAACCAACGTAGTAAGGAAAAGAACAGAGCTTGAATTCAGCACAAATTAGTTTGGGGAAGGAAGGAAGCAAGGAAGACATTTAAATGAGTCAGGAGAGATTAGTATGAGGTACTAGAAGATCAGAAGGGAGAGTTTACTGGTTACAAGTTTAAAACATAACAGGGACAATCCAATATATATTTTAGCACTTCACAGAACCATGCTGACCTTTGGCAACAGCAGTAAGAAGCCAGAGGACATATAGTAAAGTTAATAAACGTATTTTCTGGATGAAGGAATCCGATTATTGGTAATTTATTAAACATATGAGATTTAAATAAAACCAATATGCCAGTTTACTTCCAGGATGAATTTTGGATACCTTTCAATATTAAAACACATAACACGAATGAAGTAAAAACAAAATAAGCACAGATCCAAGGCAACGAGAATGCCAGCAGTTCCCACTGCGTGTCAGGAATGGAACTGTTTGGTTTGTTTTTTAACCACAGGCATGTGTTCCTTTTACGACTCTTAAAAAATGTAAGTCAATTTAAAAAGGAACTGCTTCCAAATATTTTAGCTGTTTCTTTTTCTTTTCTAACATATTTCTAAACAACTGCTTCCTCTTGGTCCTTCTTGTTTTCTGCTTTTGTTTTCTTACGTTTTAGACATTATGCACTGGTCTTCTATAGCACTCACCCATTCTTTCTCCCCTGCCCTCCCAATTTAGTTATATCACACTTTTTGGTTAGACAATATTTCATTTTACATCATTATCTAAGTGGTATCCACAGATGACTACCCACCTTTCCTATAAACTTTTTCTATTATTTTTTTCCTGGTGGAAATACATGCCTAATTTTTCATTTGACTATATTTCTATATCCCTATTATTTTGTAGCTCCATTATTTAACACATAGAGGGCTATTTAGGTTTACTACTTCTTTCTGTTACAGTTTAAATATTTGAAAGCAGTTGCCTTTGTGGAGCAAGAAAAGGGGCAAATAGCCAAGGGATTAAATTTTCTTGCATTTGCTATTGTAATATTTGAGATTTTTAACTACCCATATGCATTAATTTCATTAAATTTAAATTAAAATAATATAAGCTCACTATAGAATATTTGAAAAATATAAAGCCTAAAAAAAGAAAAATCACATTTTATGTAATTTTAAGTAACTCTTCATACTGTTGTGGTATTGTATAATATTATATAATAAACACACAAACAAAAAAAATACATACTTCACTAAGTTGGCAACATGGTATGTATATACAGTTTTGCAACCTTAAATTGTCACTTGAAATTATATCATATTTCCCATATCATTGACTAGTCTTTAAAACTAATATTTCAATGATGATACAACAGTCTATTCTTAAGGATATTCATTAATTAAGCAAATGTTTATCAGCATCTAATATGACCAGGTACTCTTCTAAGCACTTTAAAAGAGAGAAAAAAAAAGTGGAGAAACATATACCCAGCACCTGACCTGAGTCATTTACTTCACATGAAGAACATGTTCAGCTCTAAATTCCCTGGCAAACAAGGAGAAAAAGGCAGTTTCCAAATAAAAAGTGGTAACCAAGTCTACCTGGATTCTGTCTGATTAATTCTGAGTGAGCAATACTGAACAACAGAATGGACAATGCTTTTTTTAAACTATGATTTTGTTAAAGACATAGCAGCATGGTATTTGAATTTGCAATTCTGATCTACTCAACTGATCATTCTCTGTTGAGAACGTAAAAGGTGAATTAACAAGAATTTCCTTTTCTATCAATTGGAACTGCAAATGTGAAAAGAGCTTCAAACATTGGAGCCTCAAAGGTCATTTCATCCCATTTCCTATCTAATAAAGGAAACTCCTTTGATATTCTCTAAGTTTCTTTCCAGCACAAGCATTTAATGAGTCCGAGTCTTTCCCAGGTCTTCTCTACCAGGCTAAACATTCCTAATTCCTCCAACAGCCCTTCCATCGTCATGATCTTGATTTGTTTTCCAAATCCGTGATGTGGATTTTCTCTAAATTTACTTTCTCTCTTCCTGCTAAAATTTTGTTTGACTAAGAGCTGGAAAACTTCCTCACAGAAAACGAAAACCAGTCCCAGATACACACGGGGCCTTATCTAGAGTTGTATGGTGGGCAACCCAGACCAGGGCTCTTAAATCTCAGAAAAATTTCATGAAGTTTAAGTCACACCACATTAAAAAAAAAAGGTAACTCTCCACTTGGTTACATCTGAAAAATACCTTTCTTCTATTATTTAAACATTCACTAAGTCTACTTAGGGGCATTGTGTTTGCTAGATGGGAGGTACGGAAGCAAAATCAGTCTTGGTCTTGTGAAGCATGCTACCTGACAGAGCGTGTTATACGGAGGCACAAAGGCAGGACAAGCCTAAAAGCTTTCAGAGGGAGCACAGGTCATATCTAGGTTGGGGAAGCTATGAGGAGGTGTTGACTTTTGAACTGGGCCTCAACGAAGGTTCAGGATTTCAAAAGATAGAGATGGGGAGAGGCACTTCCCGCTAGAGGGAACAGCGTGAGCAGAGGCCAGGGTCAGTAACACCTGTATTTTGGCCACACCACGGGGGACTGGGGAGAGCGGCAGGCCAGGGCCTGCCTGCAGGCAGCCTGGAGTCTAGCTAAGGGGTCTGGCATTCACATAGGAGGCCCTATGTGACCAACTTCATCGCCTCAGCTTTTTTTTTTTATCATTACCAGGTTAAACTTTCATGTGGAAAGTAATCCAGTAAAAAAGAACAGGCCTGAGCAGTAAAATCAAAACACCTTTCAAATGACATTATATTTCATGTAATCAGAAAAAGTAAGTAAACTAGGCCTTAATAAATTTTGAAAAATTACTGACTACCTACCTAAGATCTTTAAGGAGCATGCTAAACTGGGGTCATCCAGCAGTAACAGTATCTCTTAGGAACAGGCTGGAAACCTAAGGAAGTGACTGGGATTGGTACTTTGTTACAAATGCCTCAGGTCAGGCTTGGTAGGAGGATCAAAGAGCACCTTTGTCCACAACGTGGATATTTCTCCTGCCGGCCCCTTTTTATCCTTAGGGCAAGCAGTAGTGAAAGTCAAGGCAGTAACATACCACCCCTCTTAAATCAGACTGAACCACTGTCCTGGAAATCAAAAATCCTACACATGTAAGGCCCAACCTTTTCAACCTGTGACTCAAACTGAGAGTAAGCAGGAAAAACAAAAGCAACACCTATTTGTCTCCAAGATACCTAAAGAGAGACCATAATTAACCACTTTGTCACCTTGGT